TTGCATTTAGATGCAGATGCCCGTGCACACTGCATGGTGTTTTCGTCGAATGCAGGAACACCACAAACAGACTTATTCTCCGACATCTTTCACAGTAAATTTTAAATTAAATTTTAATCTGAATTTCACAAATGGTTTCAAAAGTTTTAATTAAAAATTTTGCAAAAATAATTTTAAAAATATATTTGAAAAAATATCGAAATATTGTATAAATGGCAAATAAAAATTTTCTATTTGTGTCAAAAGGAAAGAAATCAAAGTGTACATTGAAGTAAATTTGAAACGTCGATGCATAGGAGTGAAAAAATGTATAATTTCTAATCTATTGCGTAGGCTTTTATATCACCTACTTTGCTCAACTATACTATTACAAATTATTTAATTAATATATACAGACAGCGAACAGATCGATTGCTACGCATTTAAAAGGCGGCCAGTTGGTCAAAGAAATGTTAGGATTCGATTGAAGCGAACACACTCGATTGTTATTTGCGTTGTATCAATCAGAAAAGAAGGCGCACTCTTTTAATCGAATTGGGTTTGACTTATGTCTCGATGAGGTCACTGATACGTGAAACTATCAAAAATTAACATTTTCTTGTGGAAAGCAAGAACTTTGAAAGTGATAGTGCTTTAAAGATACAGAACGTCTCCATCGTGCACCTTCAACACCCTTTGCATGGTATGCGATGAACTGGCTTTAGCTTAACTGTAATCAAATCAAATTTGAAATATTTAGATGACGTTTTCAGTTCATTTGCTTTGCAGTATTTCATGCTGATACATTTTTAAAGCAATTCCACACAATATTTTATCTACCTTTACTTAACAAACCATCTTCTAAAGGTTCGGAAAGGGAATGGTATCTTGCTCAAAGATGCTTAATCCATTTGAAATTATATGTTTTTCTAACCCATCTAAAGTAATCCAATGCAATATTTCACACTATTCATAGAAATGGAAATCGATTGGTAAAAATAAAAATATTTTTGAAATATTCGGTGAAAGAAAGCTTAGCTCCGCAACTACCAAGCTAATGATGGGTATCTATAACTCTCCTCCTGCATAACTTTCTCGTCTATTTTCATTTTATCAATAATAACAACAACATTTTTCGTCTTCCTCCCTATCATGTGATGCACAGCACCAGCCACTGATTCACGTGTAGTGTCTATAAAGCAGAGGAAAAAGATATAAAGCAAATGACTACAATGTACGGGATCTTTTAATATAATTTTAAAAGAAACTTCGAATTATATAAAAAATGAATTTCGAAATTTGAAAAGCATTTATAAAGAAAATGTTATCTGAATAAAATCCCTAATGTCCAAGGTTCGTAGTTCTTTAAAATCTGCAAACGTAAGTACCTCAAAAGTAGATCTCAACACGCTAAAACACTTGAAAAAGAATTACAAATTCATTATATTCTTAACAACATTTTGGATTTTACTAAAATATCCCAAGGAAACTTATTCACAAGGAAAGAAAACGTCACATCTCTCTACCGCGCGCGCAGATGATTACAAATAGCTATTATCGTTCGTTTTTCCCTTATGTAAAACAACATTTTCTTACAGATACAGATGCTTTACCATTGCCTTTAGAAATTTCAGGGCTAGATTTCAACTGCACCTTTTCACGATTTTTTCCAGCCTAATTTGTATAGGGCTGCTTTTCACAACCCGACAATCCTCGCCATTTCTTACCGACATATGGTAACATGGGCCAACTTTTGACTAGTCTTGATAAATTTCTTTATACACTTGACATATAATATCCATAATTGACCGTTTCAATATTTTCAGTCATTTTGAAAATCATCACAAATTATTTTGATTATTTACAAAACATCCTACAAAAATTGAACGCAAAGAATTAATTAAAATTTTTATATAAAAAGAAAAGAATGTGAAATTAAGAAAATAATTTGCTTTCTAAAAAGAAAGGTTATACATAACTTATTGAAGACAAATGCTCTTGATATGTGCAGATCCTATCTTCTTAAAAGAGTTAAGTAGCATCACCTGCATTGTAAGTAAAAGTTTATAAGAATGTTATCGCATGGGATAAAAAACTTATTATTCAATAATATTCTGATGGTAACAGAATTTCGACTTTTACTGATACTTAAAGAATATAGAGTTACATAATAACAATAGCGACCGCCACAAAGTTAGGCCGTCTGTTTTTTACTTGTTAAGTTTTTGAAAAATGCTACTTACGTTCTAAAACTTACTAGGTTCATTTCACGATCTGACACAGTCGGTCACTTTTGATGATTTATTCGCGATTCTAAAAACAGATTCGATTCTCAACGAGTATTGTGATTTAATATCTCTTCGCAATTCCAGTTCGAGTTTATTTTTAACAGACAAACTAACATGTTTTCCTTCCATCGCTTATATCAGTTCATATTGAAGATTTGTGAGCTTAATGTTTTTCATACGCTTCAATAAATTTTCATGAAAATCTTCCGTAGGCTTACGAAGACACTTTTCTTCGAAAAAACAAAAATGGAAATAATTTATCTTTATCTTCCAGTATAACAGTTTTGCATTATACATACATATAAAATAATTTATGTAAATTTCCACGCTAGCGTTGATGAATGTATATTTAAAAAATTAAAGATTCGTTTTTGATTCTTACTTATGCAGTTTCCATTGGTTTCATATCTACCACTAAAGGTTGAAGAGCATGTTCATTTTGTCCAGGCGGAAGCTTCGAGTATATTTGTATTTTTGTTCAGCATCAAACTCTAAATTGATTTAAGCGTGTCCGTCTGGCTGTCCGTCTGATTAATGTTCATGGTAAATATTCCCTCGATCGCAAAAAAAAGGTATGCGCTTCAAAATTGGCAGAACCATAGGGAGTTTTTGCATGCAGATTAGCACTGAAATTGGGTCAAATCGGTAAAACGACGTGCCCACAGTACGATACAACTTGAAACGACTTCTGTTTTCAAAAATATAAAATCTATCTGCCAATTGCTATGGAAAACGTATTTAGGGTCGCGAAAATGGAAATATCTGGTTCGGCCACGCCCTGGCAACGTTATAGAGCCTAAATTTTAGCCCCCCTCCCCCGCCTCTTTTTAGTCCGTGATGGGTATAAAACATCCACTCGTAGCCGAATATTGCATTGTTGTTTCTTTTATTTAATTTTATTCTTTGTATAGCCTGAAGATATATATATATATATGTATACATTTGTATATATGTATATACACTTATTCTATGCTTATTTTTTATAAAATGACAAGCTATTTATCAGCGTTTAATTTCATAAAGAATAAAGAAAAGTGTAATATTTGTTTATAGCTTACGCTTCATACGTTACAAACGTATGTTGAGGTTCATGGATCTGTGAGATACTCGAAAAGATGTAAGGCAAACTTGGTTTTTTTACCTATCATTTCCTGAATCGGGCTACTTTTACAAACACCTCTCATGTAACGCCGTTTTTTAAAAGAGTCCTTATAACGCAATTTTCTTATATACAACAGTTTTGGCAATATTTGCTGAAACTTGTAGAACATTTGAATGGTATTTGGATTCCAAAAAATTGTATAAACTTTTACTTGGCAAGATGGGTTAAGTTTTAGTATTTTGTCAGAAAAATTAGGCAACTGTTCAATACTGTTTCCGATATATATATGTATGTACATGTATATCTATATATATATATATATACATATGCATATATAAATTTATATATATATGCATATATATTTATATATGCATACATATCGTGCCAAATTTGGATCACTTTAGTCTATTATTTCAGGATTCTTTTAAAAACTAAATCTCTATTACATCAGTGAAACATTTTTGTTTCCATTTCATTGTATAGTTATTCGTGTAGCGTGCTATAGTGGGGGACACAATCGATTACAATCAATCACAAGTTTTATATTATCCCAACTCTAACAATTTAATCTTAATTGCTTTCCATTTCTTTACGACGAGGTTCTTGTGAAATGACCGACTGATGTACATGCATTCACATATTTAAGCATTACGTCGATAATCCAAATAATTAAGACGTGCTGGTCAACAAATTCGTGAGGCTTTAATATTGTTTTATTCGAGACAAGTGTGTGAATATAAATTTTTATTGGCCATATATTACACTTCAGGTATATGCTCCATAAATCAATCCTTCTTTTATTCTTTCACAAGTGCTGATAATAAGTCCATTAATTAGACGTTGATTATTTATATTCTAAACATAATTTCAAATTTGAAATGCACCTAAATCTGACTGTCTGTCCATCTGTCTGTCTGCGCAACTGTGTCACATTTGTGGAAAACATTCCCCCGTTAGGGAAAATGATGATATCCCCCAAAAATTTGCAAAAGAGTTTGAAAATGAGCTAAACTTTTAAAGGGACACGCCTACAAGTCCCGCACGCTTATGCGAGAATATTTTGAAAATAGAATAAATCAGGCGCGCCCAACTTATACTACAGAACATGAAAATGTAATTCTTTTTTTTTTGACTTTTTTCAGGATAACTGTGTTGTATATAAAAAATTCGATGGCAACCGAAATTAATTTTCTTACTTGTTTTTCCCACTTTATAGACACTTGCGGCTGTCCTCTTTGTCGTTTGTCCTTGTCCTGGCACCATTTTGAGACGCAATGGACATATCTCTCTTCAACTCATTTACAAAAATCTCTTAAGAAATAGCATCAAGAATAGCTTTTTTCTATTTTTATTTAGACGAAATAGAAGCAATAGCATGCAAATAGGAAATTCATTTGATACTCATTGTAGATACTCATCTAACTTGAGAGGTGCAATATGCCTACAGGTACTATTTTAACCTCTCGCAAGTAAGATTTATTGTTTTAATCCGCACAATACCTGTAGGAATTTTGAATAAAGTTCACTCACTTTTATTTAATAATTTTAACAATTTTATTGGCTGCTTATATTGGTAATAAATGATTTAGTGTAATGCGAAAGATTAGATTTTTCGATTTATATATAATCGGCTTTTCATGGAAAAGACATCAGAATAGTTTCAATCATCATGAAGTTTCTTGCAGTGTTCGGTTTATTTGTGGTTAGCGTAAGCGCGGCGAATCTAGATGCTATCGCCAAACCAGGTTTTCTGGAAGGGCGCATTATCAATGGCCATGAAGCCGAGAAGGGTGAAGCTCCTTTCATTGTTTCTTTGAAGACCGGTAGCCATTTCTGTGGTGGTTCCATTATTGCTGAAAATTGGGTCTTGACTGCTGGTCACTGCTTGATCTTCGATGAATTTGAAATTGTAGCGGGATTACACTCACGAATTGATGAATCCGACGTTCAAATCCGCAAGGTTACCAGCAAGAGACAGCAATTTGTTCATGAAGGATACGATGGTGATGTTGGTCCCAACGATATTGGTCTCATCTACGTGGATAAACCTTTTAAGTTAAATGCTTTGACTCGTGATGGAACAGCTGCAGTGGCCAAAGTGGATTTACCATCCGGCAAATTCGAATCAACTGGTAAGGGTAAGCTGTATGGCTGGGGACGCGATAACTCAGGATTTTTACCCAACATTCTGAACACTTTGGACGTAGACATTATTGGATACGAAGAATGTAAAAATGCTTTACCTTCCGATGCTCCTATAGATCCTGTCAATATCTGTTCCTACACACCTGACGCTATTGATGGTGCTTGCAATGGCGATTCCGGTGGTCCATTAGTGCGCGTCACTCCCGACGGTACCGAGCTAGTTGGCATTGTATCTTGGGGTTACGTACCCTGTACTGCGTCAGCACTGCCATCTGTTTATACTTGGACTTCTGCTTTCGACAAATGGGTTGAAGAAACCACCAATAACTATGGCACGCCTAGTCAACTCGTTTAAATTATTTTGCCGTAAATGAACAAAATGAAAAATTTTTAGTTAAAAAACAAAACAGATTTGCGTAGTAGGATTGATCTTGAGTACTTCTCACCTAAAAGAAATGTATAATATATCAAGCAAATAAACTTTGACATCAATAAATTTCCGTTCAGTTCGTGTTCATTTAGTGACTTTCACATCCGACATATATTAAAAGAAAAAAAGTAAAAGACACGACAATGAGACACGAAGCACCATAAAATAGGCTACACCATCCGAATCATCTTGAATTGCGTTTGTCGTTAGGTCGAAACACGTCAGTGTACCAAATTTCAGCAAAATTGCAGCTTTCAGGTTGAAAATAATAATACATAATAGGGCGGACAGATGCACTGACAAGCTTAATTCAATTCACAAGTTGATTCTGAATCGACTGGTGTAATGAAAGGTGGTGCTATCGCAAGTCCGTCTCCGCAGTAGCTTAATGCACTCTTGTACCACAAGAGGTAGGCTATAATCAATATTAATTAATATTTAATTTTAATTAATGAGTAAAAGGATGTTCGGATGCAATGTGTTTAGCTTGCGTATCAAAATGCAATACAGACGAATATATGCTCGCTTTGACTTGGCTACATCATTTTACATGAGAGAACATTTGTACCCCACCACACAACATTGAAACTAAATTCGTATCATCAACACATTTGAAAGGGGAAAGGACAGAAACGAGTTCCTTAAAATGTACTTATTCTTGATCAACATCAAATTGTTAATCGATCTGAGTTTGTGTAATGTTGACACTAAATATTCTTCCTGTCGCAAAAGTTGACTTTTACTTTACTTTTTTTTTTGATAATATGACCAATCACCCAATGGGCATCGTCTCAACCTATAAAGAGATGACTGTCCAAAAAATGCGAAGAAAGAGGTAAGGAGTTGGCCGCAGCCTAGTAGATGTGTGCCCAATTGGTAAGTCATAAGCCTAAACCGATGAAAGACTCATTACGCTCAAAGTAACTGTACTGAGATGTAACTGGGACTGCGAACGAATTTTAGCCAATGCATTAGTTGCTCTTACATAAGCTCTTCTAACAACTTTTAGTCTCCTTTGAGGCAAATCAGAAACTTGAAGTGCAGTTCTTTTTCTCTGGTATTTCTCGCAATAATACATGATATGTGGCGACAGATATAAGTGGATGGATCATGAAAAATTAATATGTTTCTCTAATAGCTTCTAACGCCTCTTAAGGCATATCAAAATCTGTTACATTCCTTTGAAATTATTGGTTAACGAAAGATATTTGATTCGAAATTTAGATTATACTAAGCGATATATGTTGGTTTGCCTTGATGACAAAATACGAGGTGTATTCGAAAAGAGAGTGACGAGCAATGACGTGTGGGCCGGCGCATTATCGTCGTGCCACATACATGACTGGTTGTTCCGCAATTCTGCGCGTTGTTCTCACATTGCTTCACGTAAACCGCCCATAACTTCGGCGTAGTATTCCTTATTAACAGTACTACCCTCTGACAAGAACACGCGATACATCACGCGATTATAATCCAAGAAAATAGTCAGTACAACCTTCACATTTGACGTAAGTTGCGATCCTTTTTTCGTTATTTGGTTTTCTCTCGGGATGATTGGGATGATTGGGTTGTAGTTTTGACGTCATAACCATATAACCACGTTTTATCACTTGTTACGATGCTTCTGAGTAATTCTGGATCATAGTTGACTTCATTCAACAGCTCCTGAGCGATGCTCGCCCGGCGATTCCTTTGGTCAAAACTTAGCAATTTCGAAAAAAAATTTGCTGTCACACGTTCCGTGCCAAAAACATGCGAACAAATTGCATAACATGAGCCAGCCGATATGCCGACATCGTCAATAACTTCTCTGATATTGATTCGTCGGTTCTCGTAATAATTTTCTTTATCATCCTGGGCGGGCATCGCCCTTAATATCTTCTCGGCTTTCTGTATCACTTATAAAAAATATTATTCACTCAAAGTACACTCACTCAACAATTGCCGGTGTAACCATTTTAAGTGAGTTGGAGACCTTAATTGTATTTTTCACATCCAGTTTAATACAGTTTTTTCGATCCATTATTTTCGTTAGCAAAAAAAAGACAACCACACGGAAAGTTGTCCAACCTTTAAATCCGTCAAAAATAAACTAAAAATACGCAACGGCTGACAATGCCAAGATGTGTTGGGGGCATGTGTACCAACATAACAGGAAACGAATTTTTAAAAGTCATCTTGTTTTCCTGCGCGCATCGCGTACACGGCTTGTTATGAAAAGTATCAATTAACTGACTGCGTAAGGTGTGCTTTTGTGGTTTGGTGCGTTTAATACTACTTGGTATTACAGATCATATGTCGTCATTGAAGTATGCTACATTGAAGGCTTTACTTGAACGCTGCAAAGCCCTAAAATTCTAAGGCAGTTTATCGGAATGTATAAATTCTTTTCTCAAATGCAATTTCAGGTAAATCGTCTCAAATATGTTAGAGCACCTCTCATGCTTATACTGAAAGCTAGTGCAATACCATGACGCTTGGTAATTATTGTGTAATCTTGCCAAAAGATGCAAGAATATCCCCATCACCATAGGCTAATTTAGTTTGTACGAAATAATAACAATATACCAATCAATATACCTTACTATGCTAACTGATCAAACGAATGATGCCGATAACGCACCCTACCGAACTCAATACCGTCGTTTACCTATTTGCCCAGAATTTATTGCGCTTGATTACTCGCACGCTAATTAACGCTGACAGTATAATAATTTCTAATCCGAAACCAATGCTGATACATATTGACGATAGTAAGCAAATAATTCGTTATCGATTATTAAATTTAACTTTCAAGCACTTCTCCTCGATAGGAGTTTATTGGCACTCATATATATACAGACGGCATAATTGTTAACCAATTTTACCATAACATAAAATCAATTTGTATAAAATGAGCACAAAAATTGACTGGAAACAAATAAACATTTTCAAATTTTATTAGTTCTACGAAACAACAAAAACAAACAAAATAAAATTGAAATTAAAACAAATCGCAATAAAAAAAACCAATAATTTGGAAACAAAATGAAATCATAGCAATTATACCATGATTTACACATCTCGTGATGTTGGACTAATTCACTTAGTAGCCTTTGAAAATGTGCTGTAAAAATATTTGCTTAACAGAGGAATAAAAACCAAGTAAAGATAGCTTGAAAAGTTTGGTTAACAGGAACATTTTCTTCTGTTTTTTCTTTTAAACGAAAGGTATTAAATCAGGTTACATAACGAACAAGGGACAAACGAATTTTTCAATTTCAAAGCAATTAAAATGCAATAGAACAGTTATATTATAAATCTATCAGTAGTTTAGCGAACACAACCAATATTAGTAATTAAGTAGATAGCGCAGCACCGCTGTAACAGCTTTAAAATAAATAAGAACATTATAGTCGAGCAAGGCTGACTATCAGATACCCTATATCATTTCGCCTAATTCTGTTGTTCACACTATTTTCATGCAAAAGCACGGCTTTCATCCAATTGGAGGAATTCTTATATGCGGTAGTGGTATCCAAAAAATAAGACTACGTGGTCCAAATTCTGTAAGGTTGACTTCTACTATGAACTAGCTTTCACCATGATATATTAATAATAATTATAAATTACTGTTACATAATGATTTCGTAAGAGGGTATTATGGGATACGGTTTAAAAAATTGCCCCAGTCGAATCCAATTTTTCATATCAATCTAGAGTATCCATATACTATTACAGAGCGAGCTTGGAAAAATGCAATTTATTTTCACATTAAGGCTTTTCAAAATAGGGCGTTATGCGGAGAGTGATCCAAACCATTTTCAATAGTGATCGCCCTGCGATAAATAATACCCCTTGGCTAACAGTATGGCCCGAGACAAGGAATTCAAGTGCACGACATCATCATGATAATCGAAGAAAACTATTAACATCACCTTGATTTTCGAGGGACTTTGAACCAGTTTTTTCGGGCTAGGCTCATCTGTGAACCTTATAATGTGCTTCAGTGAGAAATCATTTCCTCATAGACTTTAACATAAAGCTCTTTTTCAAAGAATATTATATAGAAATAAATATATTATATAAAAATTTTGATTTAGTGAGATGTCTTTTATATAGTGAAACTAACCAATTGTAACCATTAACATACCTGGAAATCCAACAACAAACACAATCTAATAACCACAGCAAAGTTGTTTGCGGTTCTTTCCATTTTTGTATTTTACTGTATAAAAGAAGGGATCAATGCAAACAAAGAGTAAGCATGAGTGAACACCACTTACATGTCATTATAAATCAAGTCGTGATTAAAAAAAAAACCATAAATCGATACATGCCGTAGTAATAAAGTCAAAGTTTTAAAGGCAGAAAAAGAAGGAGAAGCAAGCAATGCGAGCGCAAAACATAGTCCTGCAAGCAAGCAGTAAACAAATCCCTAAGAAACAGCTCGAAACATAACTGTGAAATCTTGTAACGTTAGAAAAATATTACACGTTTTCGTTTACTAGGATGTTCAAGCTAAATGGCAATGGGGAATAAAAACAAGTAAGAAAATTAAATTCGATCTTTATCGAATCTTTTATACCCATCGCCGTCTACCTCCGTCGTAGAGGCATGTGGGCGTTGTAGGCGTATCATTTGAAAGGTTTAGGTCAATTTCAAATTCGTTTGCAAATTTTTATGCGATTTCTTCATTTTCGCTAACGGGGTATGTTTACCATGGGTATTGGAAAGTTGCGCAAACGGACAGATCGACAGACGAACAAGCGGACATGTTGAGGTGCATTTAAGATTTGAAACTGACCAAGAATTTGTACACTTAATGGGGTTTTTGAAGCTTGCTTCTGCACGTTATAAAGTTATTGAAAAAATAGTTAAATTTTGATACATTATAACATAGGATAGGCGTGGCCAATTTTTTACATTTTTGTGAACAAATACAGCTTCGCTGCTTTTGGCTATAGTTCACGAGTAATGAGCAAAAAACCAATTTTTCATTCCCTTTGAAAGACGGAGGTGTTCTCAAGTTTACGTGTTGTTGTGGGCATGGCCTTCGATCGATTTGGACTACTTTCAATACAAATCTGCGTGCAAGAGCATCCAAT